TAGGGGTAAATATTGGTCGTCTTTTTATTATTATAATTTTGTGTGTGTGTGTGTGTGTGTGTGTGTGTTGGTCGTTTTATTTTATTTTATTTTTATTTATTATTTATTTATTTATTTTTATTTTATTTTTATTTATTTTATTTTATTTGTTTTTGTTTGTTTGTTTGTTTTTTTTGGTGTTGATACCAATCTGGCAGGTAATGACTATTTATTTCGTATTTAAATACAAAATTGTGGCACACAGGCGAAGGGCAAGTGGAGAAAGGCTGGTACTCAGTAACTATCCTAGTCCTTGTTACACACAATCACGACCCATTCATTCAATACAATACACGCAATCAGCAACAGAACTTGTCCATCACCTCTCAATCCTACATGTACCATAATACCACATATTCACAACCTACAAAACACCCAATCTGGCAGGAAATGACTGAAAAACAAATTTTCTTCCCAATTTATGCGCGGAAGCACACCAATGCATGCTGGGATTTTTTCCTAGCCAATAAGATAAGCCGGTTTGTCTCATTCAGTACTGATCTGTCTCGTCTTAAAGTCATAAAGCTACGTTCGCTTGTCCGAACTTGCTCTTGTGTGTCAATGCCAATTCTTAGTTTGTGAACTTTTTGCCATATTATATTTGCTTTGCCTTATTACTGTTAATATGCATTATATACATTGTTTGCTTGATTTATATTATTTCTTGACCTGCTTATTGCTTTTTCTTATTTCAAATTTTGTCAATTCTATTTGTTAGGCAGATCTTCCATTTATTTACATTTAACCATAGACACTTACTCTACAATAAAAAAGCAGAAAAAGACACGAAAATACAAAAGAGGAAGGAGAGAAGAAAGAGGAAAATGAGTGCAAGAAGACGAGAAAGAGAAAGGGGAGGAGAAAGAGGAGACGAAAAAGAAGAGGAAGATAAAGGGAAAGGGAGGAGAAAGAGGAGACGACAAAGAAGAAGGGGAGAAAGAGAAAGGGAATGGAAAGAGAAAGGAAGGAGAAAGAGGAGACGAAAAAGAAAAGGAGAAGAAAGAGAAAGGGAGGAGAAAGAGGAGACGAAAAAGAAAGGGAGAAGAAAGAGAAAGAGAAAGAGGAGACGAAAAAGAAGAGGAGGAGAAAGAGAAAGGGAGGAGAAAGAGGAGACGAAAAAGAAAAGGAGAAGAAAGAGAAAGGGGGGAGAAAGAGGAGACGAAAAAGAAGAGGAAGATAAAGAGAAAGGGAAGAGAAAGAGGATACGAAAAAGAAGAGGAAGATAAAGAGAAAGGGAGGAGAAAGAGGAGACGACAAAGAAGAGGGGGAGAAAGAGAAAGGGAAGGGAAAGAGAAAGGAAGGAGAAAGAGGAGACGAAAAAGAAGCGGAGGAGAAAGAGAAAGGGAGGAGAAAGTGGAGACGAAAAAGAAAAGGAGAAGAAAGAGAAAGGGGGGAGAAAGAGGATACGAAAAAGAAGAGGAAGATAAAGAGAAAGGGAAGAGAAAGAGGAGACGACAAAGAAGAGGAGGAGAAAGAGAAAGGGAGGAGAAAGAGGAGACGAAAAAGAAGAGAAGGAGAAAAAGAAGAGGAGGAGAAAGAGAATGGAGTACGAGAAAATAGAGAAGTAATATGAAGAAGAGAGGGCGTGAAAGAAGAAGAATAGATAAAATAATCTCTATAGTGAATGATTGCAACATACTCCCCCACAGTCAGAACGCTTCGTCCGCTTGCCCGAACTTGCTCTGATGTGTTAACCTCATTTCTTAGTCTGTGAACTCTTTTCTATACTACTGTTGCTTTACCTTATTTAGCCATGACCACTCACTCTACAATAAGCATTTATTTGGCTGGAAATAAGTATATATTGGTCAATTTCATTTGATGCTATAAGCATTTGGTTCATAGATTGGTAAACATTGGTCATTTATATTTGAGTCTAAAAGCATTTACTTGGTTTGGAGTTTATATTCTGTAAGAAAATGTGCGTGTGTGTATATTTTTTGTTGTTTTTTTTTTTTTAGTTATTTCCCCGTAGTCATTAACAGAGCTTACATATACAGGGTGCGATGGATAAATTGTTGTCTAAATGACGCAAAAATGAAAATAAACATTGCATTTCATTTTAACAGATATGCAGGCTGCAATGGATAAATTGTTATTCAAATGAAGCAAAAAATGAAAATAAAACTGACATCTCATTTTAAAAGATATATTTACCAAAATTACACAAAAATATGTTGAAATACTAAAGCGTAAATTTATTCAGTATAAACGCCATTGGCTTCAACCACGGCCTCCATAGGATTTCGGAATCTCCTACAACATTTCTTGATGGTCTCTTTGTCGATGAATTCTGCAATAATCTTTGACTTCAGTTCATGTTTGGTGTTACAAGTTGTTTTGTTCACCTGTTGCTCAGTTGCGCTCTAGTTGCAACCCGGAGAGTTCGGTGGCTAGATGTAAGGGTGGATGTGGTCGCAGAAATTCTCTGATAGCTATGGTTAGGTTCTCCTGCTTGTGTGACGTAGTGTAGAGTCCTGTCATGGTTATCTCTAACCTCCATGATTTCTGGGAACTGGAATATTTTTAGTGAAAGATATAGAACAGATTTCTCGTTCAAAGGCTACCATGTTATTTAACCCATAGAAAGAGATACAAGAGACATAGTCTTGCTTTTCCCAATAGAATTAGTGCGAATGAATGAATGGAACTGTTTTGTATTTTTTTTAACCGGCTTGTCGATTACATTCGGTCTGTTGATAGCCATTATATTTTCTTTTTATGTGACATGTCCTTTCAGAAGGTAGGCGATCATAGCTCTTCACCCTCTCTATTTCTTGCAGCTCCTAGAAAGTTTCCTCGCACAGACCACGTTCTGCCATCCACTTGCTTAAATCCGTCAGGTATTCCATGCATTGTTTTCCCTTGTCTCTCTTTTTTCTGTTCGGCCCGTGAGTATCAGATTCTCCAGGCCTTCCTTCCTCATTATGTGTCTGTTGTGACCAAGTAAATAGTTAAAGAAATTACAAAACAATTGTTACAGACATATCACATATTAAACAGTAAGCAAAACAGGAGAGTATTACACGACTAGTGAGTGTGTGTCGGTTGACTCAGCGTTCAATCTATTCGACTGTTAATATTTAACAGACCCCCCCACACGAGGGATGTATGTGGTATGAGTTTAGAACCCGTATAAACTGGTTCAGGGCCTGTCTACCTCCCCGGACGAAACTTTACCCTTCGGCAAAGCCTTCAGCAGAGAGTTCGACAGTAACGAATAATCTATTCAACTGTTAATATTTAACAGACCCCACACCACGAGGGATGTATGTGGCACAAGGCCGAGTTTACCGTGGGTTTTCCGAGCCCGTAGGCTGGGCCAAAAATATTCCCTTCGAACCCGTATAAACGGGTTCAGGGACTGTCTACCTCCCCGGACGAAATTTTGCCCTTCGGCAAAGCCTCGTCTGGGTTCCTCTCTGCTCAAGGCAGAGAGTTTGACAGCAACGAACTATATGAGCGACTGTTAATATTTACCCCCCACCACCACAATGCCGGCACAAGGCCGGTTTATTGTGGGTACTCCGAGCCCGTAGGCTCGGTCAAAAATATTCCCTTTGAACCCGCCTAAACGGGTTCAGGCACTGTCTACCTCCCCGGACGAAACTTTGTTCGGCGGCAACGCTTCGTACGAGTTCGAAAGATGAACAATCTATGCGACTATTAGTATTTAACAGAAGTCCCCCCCCCGCACCCACGAGGGTGTATGTGGCACAAGGCTGGTTTATTGTGGGTTCTCCGAGTCCGTAGACTCGGCCAAAAATATTCCCTTAGAACCCGTGTAAACGGGTTCAGGGCCTGTCTACCTCCCCGGAAGAAACTCTGCACTACGGCAAAACCTCGTCCGGGTTTCGCTCTGCTCGAGGCAGAGAGTTCGACAGTTGAACAATCTATGCGACTGTTCTAATTAACAGTCCCCCCACAAGGAATGTATGTGGCACAAGGCCGAGTTTAACATGGGTTTTTCCGAGCCCATAGGCTCGGCCAAATATATTCCCTTAGAACCCGCCAGGACGGTTACATGGACTGTCTACCTCCCAAGACGAAACTTTGCCCTGCGGCAAAGCCTCGTCCAAGTTACGGTCTGCCGAGGCAGAGAGTTTGACAATTGAACAATCTGTGAGACTGTTCCCCTAAGGCATTCTCTCCTACTCATCTTATAGTAAGCGGAAGAGTCCAACATAGACGCTTTAGAGAGGACACCACAACAGTGTCCCAGAAACTTCAACTGCCTCTTCCTGATATTAAGTATAAGCCTCCTTCTTGTTTGCAACCTCTCTAAGATCTCGTCATTGCTCACTAACTCAGTCCATGACATCCTTATCATCCTTCTGTAGAACCACATCTCTGTCACCTCGAGTCTCTTCTTCATTTTTGAGGAAATCGTCCAACATTTGCTGCCGTAAATAAGGACAGATGTCATGTAACAGTTCAGTATTCTTTTCTTTGTTACCAAAGAAATCCTCCTGTCTCGCAGTACTCTGCCCAATTTTTACTAACCGAAAAAAGATTAGGATATTAGTCAGAAATTTCAACAGGCACACATGTGAAATCGGCGGATAAGTTCGAATTTCGTTACGTTCTAACGCTAATGTAGTTAGGAAAGGCATGAATAAACATCTCCCTGCTATATGTTGCATCAACATATATCTTAGCAAGATGTCTTAAGATTACTGAAATTCTACAATGCTGACTGTAAGTAAAATTAGGTTCGAGTATGCTTTTTATACTATTGTTGACCCAAGAGCCACCTAAGGCAGAGGTAATTGAATGAGGTTGTTTTAAGGGTGAAAAGAGAGGAAGAAAACGAGAGAATACATAACGCTCGACCCTAGAATTGAAGCTACTTAAATTGTAATGGTGGGGGAAGCATCTACTCGGGAGTCGGTTCCACATTGCAACACTTCTGGGTAAGAAGCAGGGTGGAATCGAATAGAAGAGGATAAGGATGAGTGGTGTCTGTGTATGTGACGTTGGCGAGTCCTAGCGGTGAAAGTCTGAACTAGTGAAATCAGTGTATGTAACCCGCCTGCACATCAGTCATGGAAGCAGCGGTAGAGTAGAGATATAGAAAATATACAATTTTTTTTAATCATTTCACCCCCAAGCAAGGCAATGAAACCGCTAGGATGCAAGTGGTTACTGAATGTAAGAGAATATGAGAAAAATACTATTAAGGAGAGAGAACAATAAAAGAACAAGAATTAAGAAGACAGAACATAACGATTGACATTGCATTTAAATTTTTGAAGATCAAAGGCAATAAAGCCACTAGGACGCAAGAGGATACTGAGTGTTAGAAAATATGAGAAAAACTACTATTAAGGAGAGAAGACAATAAAAGAACAAGAATTAAGAAGGCAGAACATAACGATTGACATTGCACTTAAATTTTTGAAGATCAAAGGCAATAAAGCCTCTAGGATGCAATGGGTTACTGAGTGTTAGAGAATATTAGAAAAACTACTATTAAGGAGAGAGAACAATAAAAGAAGAATTAAGAAGACAGAACATAACGATTGACATTACATTTAAATTTTTGAAGATAATAAGGTAATAAAGGTAATAAAGCCACTAGGATGCAAGGGGTTACTGGGTGTTAGAGAATATGAGAAAAACTGCTATTAAGGAGAGAAGACAATAAAAGAACAAGAATTAAGAAGACAGAAGATAACGATTGATATTGCATTTAAAATTTTCAACATCAAATTTGACTCAGAAGGAGAAAACCGGAAAAGAGTTTCACAAGCAAGACGTGCGATAGAAGAAACTGTTAGAATAGAACTTACGGTTGCATCTAGCCATTTCAAGTGTAAAAGAATGAGACCTAGCCGCCAATCTAGTACTGCGCTTAAACCCATAAAGGAAAATTCTTCGAAACAATTGCTATAGAAGTATATTTTTTTTCTAATGTTCATCTAATATAAGGACCAAACGGCATTCAAGGTAGAGGGTTACTGTGTGGAGTTATATTAGCGTAGGAAAGGACAATCGTTAGGAGCATGGAGCCGAAAGAGATTTTAGAAGGAACCGGAAACTCAATCCCAAACAGGAAACAAGGGATAAACCTCTACTTTTGTTCAAAAGATCGGGGAGGAGCATGAACCGGGCAATGAGCGAACTTATTTACGGCTATTGGTGGAGGACAAAAGAAAAACTAACATGAAATAAATCGTCAGTGAATAAAATTTCAGACTTCCGGGGCGCAGACGTTAGGATTACAGAGCTGAAGCAGACTTTAGAAGGAACCGGAAACCTCTACCCCTGTTCAAAAAAAACCGGCAAAGGTGCAGGGAAGCTGTGTTACAGCGGTGGGGAAATGACTGCAGCCGAGATGCCAGGTCCGAACCAATAAAGTTGCAGATTCTTCTTTTGACTTTGTCAAGAATCTCTAAGTGCAGGAGCACCAGATCAAATGTAGCAGTACTACAATCCCAAAAACAGTTTTCTGGTCTTCAGTTGCATTCCATTGAAACTTTTTAACCTATAGGAAAATAAACAGAGTTTTCTTATTAAGAAGTTTATTTTTTTAAACGTCTTTTATTAAATATGAGCGACACGTCATGCCAATTCCACATAAAGAAGACGGTTCCACTAAAACGTATTTTTTAAGCGTGTTCTATTAAATGTCATGCCATTTCCACATAGTTGAATCATCTTCATTTCCTTCTTAATCCTAACCTAAGAAGAAGGGTCCACTCAAACATATTTTCCGAATAACTGCCAATTTGTGGAATAGACTTCGACATATATACATTTCAGAACTTTCCAATCTTGGCCACTTGATGACAAAATTCATTCTTTATACTTCCTTCCCATCCTCGTTTTTTTTTTCTTTCATCTTCTTAACCATTTCATTCCAAGCAATTCGATAAAAGCCCTTAGAATACAAGGGTTTAATGAAATAAACATAGAGGTCATAATAAAAGAACTTAGTTCAAGGTGACAGAATTTGACGCTTGACATTTCATTTAAAGAAAGTTCCAAAAGAGAAAGGTTTAAGCGAAGAAACTATTAGCATAGAACTTACGATTATAACTAGCAATTTCAACAGTCCTGGGTATGATGACAAACTACATCCGGCAGCAAGGTTTACGATCGGGACCTTGGAGCTTTTTAAGAGCGTGGAACCACCCTTTAATTTCTGTTCTTCCCAGGTCAGTCTTGGCACGGAGCGGTCGCGACTGTTCTGGTCCCAGCTATGACACAAAGGGTGAACCTGCAAACAAAAACAAAACACTACGAAAGAATGAAAATACATTTTTATATAAAAAAAAAGAAAATCACCCAAAATATATATTTATATAAAAATTGTAACACCAAATGTGTCAATGTTACCGGGCAGTTCAACAAACGTTGTTGGAGTGTATTGGATATATTTAATATTTAATATTGAGATGAAATGTTTTCGACCCAACATATTTTTCTGATATCTAACTAAATATCTTAATTTAATTT